TGGGTTTCCTCCTACCTGTAGTTTATCCAACATGAATCAGCATATCCATTTTTCCCCCCAACACCACCCCACCCCGCCACTCTTCAGCTACATATCTCACTTCCCTTTAACTGCATCTATATATATTTGCCTTGCCTAAAGTGTGGTGGGGGAAGTTCCATATTCTCACTACAGACACTGTCCTGATTGTTGGATTCATCTTTGTGACTAGATTAATCTTGGATTCACCCACAATGAAAAACAGTTTCCCCAACAAATACCCTAAGCAATGTCATGGTTTTAAAGTGCTCCAACAGGCCATTGAAAAGGTTTACAAATAAGACATCAGTTGTCTTCTCTTTTCAGAGATCCTAGAACAAGCCATATTAGACTGAAAAGAAGAGGAATTTCTTCACTCAAAAAAGGTAGCGAATCTTTGGAATACCCTAGGGCTGTGGAAGCTCACTCATTAAGTACATTAAAGACAGAGAAACAGTTTGAATTAATGACAGGAAGGAATATGGGGATGAAGGCATTAAGATTGATTAGCCACACTGGAATGGCGAAGCAGACTTGGAGGGTGATTGGTCAAGACCTTTGTTCTGAACCATGCAAGTCCAACATTTGTTGGATTTATCTCCAGTAATTAAGGGTTGAGATTACAGTGTATGCACCCCACATCCAATTCTACATGATTGGGTTAATGGGCAAGTCCACCAGTACGTGAAAACCAATAGGATTGCACAAAATGAAAAAGGATTGCACATTAGTCCTTCTCTTCTGAAGAAGTCACCACATTTAGCCTAAACTTAATCTCACTAATGAAGCATTGACCCTTCAGCAGGCAGAAGCAAAGAGTGTCAGAAACTTGAAACTCTTTTCCACAAACTGCAGTGCAACAACAGTTAACTGTAAAACAAAGATAAAGTCAACTTTTGCTACCCAAAGAAGGGATATTTGGGTGTGGTGGCTGTAATAGGTTTGAGGGGGCAAGAACGAGTCATGCCCTCCTTAACAATGACAGCTTTGTCAGACCCAGAAGGTCCAATTCATGCTGCATTTGTTCATTTTATCAGGTGCTAAATAATAGATATATAATTAGCTTTTGAGGAAGCAAAAGAAACTGCAATTCTTCCCCCAATTGTTTGAGAAAACCACTGCATTATCAGTTGTGAAGACCAACCTATTACCCACGTCAACAATTATAGATGAATGACGGGCTCCCAGGCAAGGTTTAAGTTAGCAGAACGATACCCCAGTACGCAGCCCAATATCCCAGAGGTGGTAAAACAACCAACAGAATAACATGAACAGAAACAAAGTATGCTGCAGGAGGCTTTTATTTGGCCCATCACATCTACACCAGGACAAAGAACAAAGTTGCATAGTATGCACAACCTCAGCAATCAACACAAATTGTTAGAGCACAGGAAAGGACCATTTAATCCATTCTGTCTGTGTCAACTCTGAAAACTACCCAATTTGTCAGAATCCCCAACTACATCCCTCAAAACCGAGCAATTTTCTGCCCTTTTGAATATTTAAAAAGTTCTGTTCAGGAACATACTGCTGATTCTGCTTCTACTACCACTTTATTCTGAAACAATTCCAAGCAAGTGTAATGTCAGTAATATTGTAACAATTTCTGAACATCAATAATTAAAATCAAAGTTTATTCCCTCAACAGAATCATAAACGTTGTCTGGGACACTGAGAACCTGCCCTCCTTCAAAGCAGGGGCCTCCATATCCCCAACATCTACTTTTGATGAGGGTGACAGTGCCTTGGTTTAACATCACAGCCCCTAAACAGTGCAGTGCTCCATCAGGACTGCACTAGGAGTGTCAGCTGCATCATGTACTCTGGTCTCTAAAGCAGGACTTGAACTCAAGAGCTGACAGACTCAGAAGCAACAGCATTACTGACTGAGCCACAGCTGACACTCGAAGGAGAATTAAACAAAGATACATGGACTCTAGCATTAGACTCTGGACCCTGGGTTGTGCTGGAAATATTGATTAGGGCCATTACATACAATGTCGCTATAGTTTCTCTGTTGTCTTTCATCATTCTTACACAATTGCAGCTCATTAGAAAGAAAGGGACAGTGAGAATTCCTATAATAGGCACTTGCAAATGGTGAATCAAAAATTCAAATAACCACACCAAGATGCCAGAAAGCACCACAATTGTTCACCAGCGGGTTCATCTGGAAATGAAAGATTCTGCCTGCACCAGGGTTATGTTGTCTGCACATAAAAAGGTGGGATGGCGGTAAGCAGGAACATACTGATACATGCACAGGTACCCATCCAGCAACGGGCACAGGAAGAGGGAAAAACTAAACTAGGGGGTAATAAACAAGCGTCCAGGGGAGAAATAAAAGATTGTTTTACCCCGAGAGATAAGGGTGAGAAATTAAAAAGAAAGAAACAGCGGCTGAAGCCACCTCTTCTTTGAGCAAAAGCCGTTTCCCATCCATTCCGCTCCACAGTGAGCTCCCCCCGGCTCCGGGCCAACAGCAGCAGAAAGCAGAGGCCAGGGGAAGGGAAAGGGCTGACAGACAGAGACCGACCATTTCCTCAGGCGGCTCGGACGCTCGACTGCACCGGCTGAGGAAAATGATGGGGGTGTCGGAGGAAGGCGACTGGGGAAGAGAGAGAGAGAGAGAGAGTCCGGTCACCGCTTCACCGCCCAATCCAGCGGGTTGGGGTAGGAGAGAAGGCCAAGGTTGAGGCCCAGACCCTAATAGGGAGGAGGAAAGGCCGCTCCCCGATCGCCCGGGCCGGCTGGGTGTGTGTGAGAGAGAGCGAGAGAGACTCCCGGGGGGCGAGCGGCTACAATGTTTCCCTCGGCCATTGTCCTCCGCTACAATGTGGCCGCCTTTTGTCACTTGGTAGCTCTTTGATACATTTTTTTTGTTACCTTCTCTGGCTTTCAGGAGCACCGTGTTAGCTACAATGTTCTCCAGCTCCATCCGTGCGGCCCCGCTTTCCCCCTCACACCCAATGTCTCCGTGAGAGGAGGGAATATGTCAGCTTCAGTCCTCAGGCAGCCTCATTGGTGCTGCCGTGAAAGAAACCCGCCCCCTCGTTGCTTCACCCGCCAATAGTCGCTCTGGAGCGGTGTGCACTTCGGAAGAACGACTTGAGCAGGCCATTCAGGCCCTTAGAGCCTGTGCACTGCCTCATTCTAGCCCACTCTTACTCTGGAAGCTAGCATTCCAGTCACCACCGCGTCGTTGTTTTTTTTTTTTTTAAAAAAAAAAATGCACGTTTTAGTGACATACGTCCCTCAAGATTTCTTTGGGCAACAAAGATAGAAAATACAAGGAGGAGTAGACCATTCGGCCCAGCTCTGCTATTCAACACAATCATGACTGATCATCACACTCAGCACCGTGTTTTTTTCCTCCCCAGACCCTTTGGTCATTTCAGCCCTAAGAACTGTATCTAACTCCTTGAAAATACAAAAATAATTAATTAAATAAATAAATACAGGTTTGTGTTTATAATTAATGAAAGCAAAATATTCTGGATACATGACAAACAAAAAAAGTTGGAGAAACTCAGCAGGTTGGGCAGCATCCATGGAGAAAGAAACAAGAGCTACATTTCAAGTCCAATAAGACATTTCTTCAGAAACACATTTGTATATCATCAACACCACCACCACCACCACCACCACAAAACACACCACTAGCCACCTTAATTGAAATAACTCCACAGGGGCTGGTAGCCTATCACCAAGTCACCCTTTATTTGCACATACATAGTACTTGATACTGATCCAGCTTCCTCAGAGTGAGCAGAGCCTCTGCCACTCCTGTTTATATCTGTCAGCCAGGGCTCCCTGATTGGACCAGGTTAACAGCCCTAATCAGGGAACTTGTATTCCCTCAGATCCACCTGGCAGGCATCATTACAATAACTACGTCCCTCACTCTCTAAGTCCAGTAACATAGGCCTGTTCTTTTTCTTGTAGCCTCTACTGGGGCATTTTCGCACTGGGACCAGTTCCTTTGACTCAGCCTTGGATACAGGTGGCATGTACCAGACTGTAGCTTTCCTCTTGTGTCTAGAGTGCCTTGGAAGAAATTCATCCTCTTCTTCAGGCAGTAAAGGTGTTGAGACTCCAAGGTTTCTTCAAGACTAGATGGAGGCGAGAACCCATGGGTTCCGATAGCCTTTCTATCTGTTGTGAGGGCCCACGTATAGTATGCACCTGCCCCGTTTGCGAGATTGCAGCTTTCATGTGGTCCTCGTACTTGTCCAGGACTGCTTCACCAACCAAACTTTATATCTCAATGGACCTGACCTCGCGTCAATCATGCATCTTATCCATGCAGGGCCATTTCTGTGGTTTTTGCAGCAAACTTCAAACCCTGAAGTAAACTCTCTCTCTCTCGCTTAAAGGAGTCTTATGTCCAGCATTGGTGTTCCTAATACCATTTCACTCCCCCCACCCAGGTCCGGGAAGATCAGATTTAACCTGGTGTGGAGTCTCCTCCCCATCAGCAACTCTGCTGGAGTTATCCCTGTAGTTGCATGAGGAGTGGTCCGATAATCAAATAGGAGCTGGGACAGCTTGGTATTGCGTGAAGCTGTAGATTGTTTCTTTAAGCCTGCCTTCAAAGTTTGGACTACTCTTTCTGCTGGATCATTGAATGATGAATGGTATGGAGCTGTCTCTTGTACCAAATTCCCTGCTGGTAAAAGATGGCTCATTGTCGGTGATCAGCACTTCTGGGAGCCCATGTATTGCAAAAAATGCTCACAGCTTTTCGATCGTTGTTCCCGTGCTTGACGAATGAACTCTATGCACGTCCAACTACTTTGAGTGGGGATCCATCATGACTAAAAACATTGAGCCCATGAAAGGGCTGGCATAGTCAACGTGTAACTAAGTCCAGGGTTTACTCAGCCATTCCCACAAATGTGGGGAGCTGCTGGTTGTAATTTTAGTTCTTGTTGGCACTCTGGGCACTGCCCCACCAACATGGCTATGTTTGTATCCAATCCAGGCCACCAAATATAGCTTTTTACCAACATCTTCATTTTGGACGTCCCTGGTGGAGTATCTAGTGGCAGCCTTTGCTTGGAACAATCTCTTTTGCTCCCTATAATAATATGCCATCTTCTATAGCAATCTTGTCTCACCAGGTCCAGAAAGGTTCCGGTTCTGGTTGTGGTAGCCCATTTGTTTCCCCCATCACCACCAGCTGTTTTAGTTTTGCCAGGACCCGATCCTTTTGTTCCACCGTCTGATATTGTCAGCAGTCACCAGAAGGGTGTCCAGAAAGTTTAAAACCAGAACAGACTCTTCCAGCGACAGCAGGAGATGGCTCAAGGCATCCGTATTTGCTACCTGGCCTCCCAGATGATGTTCCAACTTGTAATTATATGGACTTAGAATGAGAGCCCACTGTTGAATTTGACCTGAAGCTGTGGGTGGCACAGCCCTGTCTTCTTTGAGTAGCCTTAGAAGGGGTTTGTGGTCCATTGCTATCAAAAATTTACATCCGCAAAGGTTTTGGTGGAATTTTCTCACACCAAAGATGATCACCAAACCTTCCTTCTCTAACTGTGCATATTTATGCTCTGCATCAACCAAAGTCCAGGAAGCATAAGCTATTGCGTGTTCCTCTCCGTTGGGCCACTAGCGAGCCAACATTACCCCTATACCATACGGGGAGGCATCACATCTCGCTTGGGATTGTAGTGTGCCAAAACCTTAGACAAAGTTAGCAGCTTCTTCACTTCCCTAAAGGCTATGTCTTGACTACGAGACCATTTTCAAGGCTGACTCTTTTTCAATAGCAGATGTAAGGGTGCCAGGATGGAGGCCAGTTTACATATGAACTTTCTGTAATGATTCACCAATCCAAGGAAAGACCTAAGTTGCAGTATAGACAGGGGAGCTGGGGTACCTTTGATCACCCTCACTTTATCTTCCAACGGGTGTTACCCAGTCTTGTCAACTCTGTAGCCCAAGTAGGTCACTTGGGGTGCCTGGAACACACATTTTTCCATTCTAAAGGATATGCCTGCCTTGGAGAAATGTCTAAAGACTATGTACAAGGTCTCTAAGTGCTCTTTATTGGTCTTCATTCAGATAAATGGCAACCTAGGGTAGATCTTGTAAAATGTTCTGCATCGTCCGCTGAAAAATGGCACAGCCTGATGATTCCCCCAGATGGTGGTCTCATATATTGGTTCAAACCCTTATGGCTATTAATTGTAGCATACTTCTGGCAATCCTCATCGAATCACAACTGCAGGTACACATGGCTCACGTCCAGCTTTGTGAAGGACAGCCCCTCCTCCAGCTGTGCGAACAAATCCTCTATGCGAGGGAATGGATATTTATCCAGCTGTGAGAAGCCATTTACTGTCTGTTTAAAATCGCCACAAAGGCGAAGCGACCCATTGGGCTTCACAGTCAGTATGACCGCTGCTGCCCATTCCACAAACTGTACTGGTTTGATGATTCCTTCGCTCTCCAACCTTCTGATTTCTGCCTCTACTTTTGCACATTAGGCACTGGGCAGTCCTTGCAGAATCATGGGATAGCTTCCTGGTCAACATACAAGGTAGCCTTGCTTCCTTTAATAGTCCCTAGACCTTCTGGGTATTTAATTAGGAATTCACTTGGGCATTGAAAAATATTGAGCCAATCTTGGTGAGCCTTTCTCAACAAATTTCATCCCATCAAGCTTGGGCTCAAGCATTTCACTACAATCAGTGGTAACTGAACCAGTTGCTTCTCATACGAGACCAGAACAGAAGTTGTGCCCTTAATCTGTAAAGGTTCCCCAGTGTAGGTTCTCAGCCTGGCCAAGGTCTTACTCAAACTTAAGGGTTGGAGTCCAGAGCTAATTTTGTCAAAGACTGGGTCTGCAATCACTGATACAGCCATGCTGGGGTATAAACCTCCATTAGAACCGGGTGACCATTTAACCAGACATTTATTTTGATTGGTGACAAAAAATCTGCAGATGCTGGAATCCAAGTTAGACAAACAGGAGGCTGAAAGAACACAGCAAGCCAGGCAGCATCTGGAGGAAAGGAGCAGTCAACATTTCAGGTATAACCCTTCTTCAGGACATTTATTTTGATTGGTTCTGATTTGGATGTTGCTAAGCAATCTAACTGTAACAAGCCAGATCTAAGTGGGCTTTCCAGGTTGTGCATTCTCCTGGACACCAGCCTGTAAGTTTTCTTACTCAATTCAGAACTATTGGGCCTCTTTTGCTGTCTCAAATCCTCATAATGGCAACAAGTACAATGGCCTGCTGGCCCAAATCCTGAAGGAAATCTTAACCATTTGGCCAAGGCCTGGTTTTATTTTGTGGCTTTGCTTGGGGCTGACCTAGAGTCCCTCTGTTCAGGATATTATCTGAGTGAGGCTATGCAATTGACTTCAGCCATGCGGTGTCCCCCAAGCTCAGTCAGCTTGGCAAGTCCACTTCAAGGGGAATACGCTGTAACTCATAAGCTCCACTTGCTGCATTTTCCAGTGACAAAGCCAGTTGCAGTGCCTGTTTCTGAAGAAGGGTCTCGACCAAAAACGTCAGCTTTCCTGCTCCTCTGATGCTGCTTGGCCTGCTGTGTTCATCCAGCTCTACGCCTTGGTATCTGCAGTGCCTGTTTGACATCCAGCTGGGCTTCAGCTAGTAGGCACTTTTGCCTGGTTACATCATTAATCCCACATACCGAACGGTCTCTCAGCAACTCATTAAGGGTTAAACCAAATTCACATGCCTCTGCCAGTCATCTTAACCTCGTCTAAAATCCTGATACAGATTCCGCTCATTCATGAAATGTTAAATAAAACTGGTCTGGCTTCCTCACAGGCATCTCTCAGAGTGAGCTGAGATTCCTGTTCTTGTCTGTCAGCCAGGGCTCCCTGATTGGTCTAGGTTAACAGCCCCAATCAGGGAACTTGTACACTACGATGTCCACCTGGCTGACCTTGTTATAATCACTACTTTTGGAAGTGTAGTCATTGTTGTGGAGTGCAATCTTCCCCTTCTGCAGTTGGTGAGCTTGGAAGCAGGAAGGACAGCTGATTGGGAAGGTCAATCACGGGACTACCTGCCTAGAAAGTAAT